GGATGGATGGATGGATGTTAGAGCTTGTAGCATAAACGGATAAACGGATTTCGGTGAAATTTGGTACAGATGTAGAGGAGTCTGGAAGAACACATAGGCTATTCGCTTTTGTTTTTTTTTTAATTCACGCGTACGGAGTCGCGAACGAAAGCTAGTTTGTTATAATTTGTATGTAATTGAAGTATTTACCTCCGTGAGAAAATGTCCAGGGCTCCTTGCCGCGCAGCAGCGTGGTGAAGGCGGAGTACCCCACGCCGCCGTACAGACCCAGCTTTGTATGGAACGATGGACGGCAGTTGCGCACTTGCTGAAATATTACAAATAATTTATTATTATAAATGAGAATGTTTGGATGGATGGATGTTACTATGAGTAAACGAATCTTGAGGGAATTTGGCATAGATTTAGAGTTTAGTCTGGAAAGAACATATAGGATACTAAGAGCCTGTCCCACCAAATTGTAAATTGTCTGACAACAACGTGTAAAATATGTGATGGAAATATCGGATTTTGTTTATCTGACAGTGACGTTATTTTTAAGCTATCAGAGCGTATATCAGCCAGTGGTGGGACAGGTATGTTACTTTTAAAATCCGCAGTTAAACACTAGTTAACAATATAGTTAGTAAACTAATTTTAAACTATGATTTAGATTGAAATGTGTTGTAGATTTATACTAATTGACATTAATAAAATTGCAACACGGCCAAAAATTGAAACGAATTTAATGCGTCGCTATACGGTGCTTACAATTTTACAGACAACAAAATAATAGAATTTGAAGTTTAAATGTAGCCTTATAGTTTAAGATATTGTTACATATTTAAATGTCGTTTCAGTATTCGGCTGTTTACACGCTCAGTATTATCTAAAAAGTTATCTGATCATACAGAAAAATCTAACAAAATTGGGAACTGTTCAGTATTAAGTTATACACAGGTTATATTTATCTAGACAATCCGAATGTTTGTATAAAACTGTCACATAAAATTTAGCGTGTGTACCGAAATTTAGATTTTAATAAATTTCATCCACTTAAAAAAAATATATAAGTTTTCATACAATAACCAAAAAATAATTATCATATTTTTAAAAATGTAATGTTTACCTTCAATTCCTTATAAACATATGATTCCTTTAATTTATCTTCATATAGCGTGGGCACGATACCTCTCTCGTGTGTCGCCTCCCCTGACAGTATCACTTCCATGGCCGATTCCGCTGCCAACATGCCTGTTACAGGGAATTATACTCTGTACTAATTATATTACACTTACACTCGTATTGTAAAGAGAAAAAAAATTGTGTTGATTGTTGTTTTATTGAAATAACTCAAAATCTACTGGGCCAATTTAAAAAAAGTCACCATTAAAAAGCGTAACATAGGCTATATTTTTAAATTTCACATGGACGAAGTCGCGAGCAACAGCTAGTATACTTATATTACAAATTGGAAATTTTGTATGGATGTTTGTTAGAGTTTGTAGCCTAAACTACTAAACGAATCTCTATAAAGTTTGGCATAGGTGTAGAAGGTAGGAAGAACATAGGCTACCTACTTTTGACTGGTTTACTTACTCTCATAAAATATATATAGACTTTGTTATTTAGGATGTCAGCAATCACAGTATAATTTTAAATAATTATTTTTTAACGAAAAGCCTTACACTTACTATATGCTATATAATATACCATATATTTTCACGCTATTGAATTTAGGGAGTGGATAAATAAGAAGACAAGTCATGCGAGAAAAGGACAAAAACTACAAGCCAATAATAAGAAAGCAAAGGTAATAGTAATACAATGTCTTTAAAACAATTTAACATTAGCAATTGAAAATTACACAAATGTTAACAATAAAATAAAGTTTTGTATAATGGGAACATCATCATCATCATCATCAGCTCTCTATACGTCCCCACCGAGGGGCTCGAAGTCTACCCTAAATTAGGGTGACTAGGCTATAGTCAACCATGCTGGCCAACTGCGGGTTGGTCGACTTCACACATATCTTTAAATTTCTTCGCCGATATGTGGAGGCATCACGATGTTTTCCTTCACCGTGAGAACGTCGGGTAAATTATGTACATATGACAATTTGAAAAATCGAAAATCACATTGGTACATGGCGGGATTCGAACCCAAGAGCTGTAGATTACAAGATAATTGTTTAAACCACTGAGCCAC